ATTATGTTTTTTGATAGTGAGTTTATAGGTCACCACCATAGTCTTCAAGACCTAGCTGACATCATCCCGCAGACCTCTTTCCCCTGAGACTCAGTCCCGTCTTGATCTGGCGCCGGTGGCAGTCTGATCCTGATCTCACCAGCCTGCTCAAAGCGTTTGAGAACACCTCCCTGGGCGTGCTTGACCCCATCACCCTACTCAAACGAGCCATCCCCGAGAAAGTCCCCATGAAGGTCACCGAGATCATTCCTCGTCTAAAGGATGGCGGCGCTTTCGTCAAATTCACACACCCCAACGATATCTCAGCAACTGAGATTGAAGGTAAGCGCCTGCTTCTTCCCTCACCCTTCTTGCGGTGATCCATTTCTGACCAAATCTACAGAAAACCTATCAAAGATACTTGAAAGTCAGCCTGTCAAGCCATGGTTTAACCCCTTCCGCAGCGTCAAGATTGGCCTCGTGCAAGGCGTTCCCTGGCTGGAAGACCTCTACCGACTTCCCAAAGGCCGTCTCAGGGTCGAGTTTGTGGCCGCCACAGACGCCGAACCGTCGGCAGAACTGTCACAGGAGACACTCTACAGCCTGTTCCGCAGATATGGCAAGATCGGCGAGATCACCTCTCAATCATCTGACTCCAAGGTCCTGCCCAGATTTGCATATGTCGACTTCGGTCTGGTCAGAGACGCCATCATGGCCAAGAACTGCCTCCATGGCTTCGTCCTCCGCGAGGAGGGCAGCAAACACGCAACCAAGCTGCGTCTCTCTTACGAGCAGCGTGTCAAGCCGCACCATATCTGGGACTGGTTCACCAGCCATCCGAGGATTATCATTCCCCTCATCGCTGCCTTTCTGGCTGCCTTCACCGTCGTTGTCTTTGATCCGATCCGCGAGTTCTTTGTCAAGGCCCATGTGCAACGCATGTTTGAGTTTACAAACAGCAGGCTGTATAAGTGGTTTAAGAGCCAGACTTCTGACATCCTAGCATTCCGCAAGCACAAGGGCGAAAAGGCCGGGCTCAACGCCCTCTTCACCCACCGCAGAGACCTCATCGACACCATCCAAAACGGGCTACTTGAAACCGTAGACACCTTCGTCGTCGTCCACGGACCTAGGGGGTCTGGCAAGAGAGAGTTGATTCTCGATCAAGTGCTCGAGGGCCGCAAGGACGTCTTGGTCATTGACTGCAAGCCCATCGTGGAGGCACGTGGCGAGGCAGGCACAATCAGAAAACTTGCCATGGAAGTCGGATACCGCCCCGTGTTTTCGTGGGCAAACAACCTTAGCAGCCTGGTCGATCTCGCGGTTCAGAGCACTACTGGTGTAAAGGCTGGCTTCTCAGAGAACCTCGAGTCTCAGGTGGTCAAGATCCTGCAGACCACTGCATCGGCGCTCAAGAATGTCTCGCTCTCGAATCGGAAAGATACGCGCAAGGACGAACGCCTCTCTGAAGACGCATACCTTGAGGCGCACCCCGAACGCCGTGCAGTTGTTGTTATTGACAACTTTCTCCACAAGGGTGACGAGAAGGGCATAATCTACGACAAGGTTGCCGACTGGGCTGCCGCCCTGGTGCAGTCCAATATCGCCCACGTCATCTTCCTAACCAACGACGCTTCCTACACTAAATGTCTATCGAAATCCCTACCAGACCGTGTTTTCCACCAAGTCACACTGGGCGATCTTTCCCCCGACGTGGCTAAGAAATTTGTTCTCTCCAATCTCGAGCCCGAAGACAGTGATAAGAAGAAGGAGGCTCCCGCCAAGGAGGCCGACTTCCCCGACGCCACCACCGAGCAGCAGCGTCGCGAGGACCTTGCCGAGCTGGATGAGTGCATCGAGTCCCTTGGTGGCCGCCTTACCGACCTGCAGGTTCTCGCGCGCCGGCTCAAGATCGGCCAGACTCCCAAGAAGGCCGTGTCCGAGATTATCGAGCAGGGCGCGTCTGAGATCCTGCGCATGTTCCTGCTCAACAACAAAAACGGCGCTACAGACAAGAAGTGGTCGACCGAACAGGCCTGGTTCCTGATCCGCGAGATCGCCTCCAACGAATCCCTACGGTACAACGAGGTTCTGCTGGCCAACACCTTTGCGGCCTCCACTACCCCAGGTGCTGCCAACGGTGAAACGGCAATCGAGAGCCTGGCCAACGCCGAGCTGATCACGGTCAAGAGCCACCATGGCCACCCGCAGACTATCAAGGCCGGTAAGCCGGTGTACCAGGCCGCGTTTACGAGACTGATAGAGGACGCGGTGGTGAAGGCGCGCATGGATCTGGCCTGGCTGACGGAGCTGGCCAAGATCGAGGCCAAGACTATTGACAAGGTCGAGACGGAGCTGAGCTTGCTGTGGTCGCTGCCGAGCCAGCCCAAGCAGTCTACCGAGCGGGTTAATTACCTGCTGGGTAAGCTGCAGGCGAGCCAGCAGAAGATCATGGCGTACGAGAAGGAAATGGGGGAGTTGAAGAAGGTGCTGTCGACAGACCATGAGTAGGGTGTTGAGGTTTGCGTTTGGTCTGTCTCGGGTCTTGGTTGATTGGGTGAATGTACATAAGGGGGTTATACCAGCTGTATTTGGAGGCGAGGAGGGGGAACATCTCCGCTCCGCTACCTATTTTGTTATTGACCGCAAAGATAAGTATATATATTATCAAATCGCATCTTGTTATATGAACACCCCCAGAGAGTAAGCTAAGCCCCCAGACAGGCAGCGAGACTAACTGAGACGATCCAAGTGTTACCAGGTTATGACGGCGAACTCTAGCCATCCATCATGAACCAACTTCGACATGGAATTAGAAGATGAAGATCGCGAGGTAGAAAGCGGTACATACCCTGGACGATGCTCAGTGAATGATTATCTCGAAAATCTTAACAATACAACAATGTATCTCTCTCATCCACGGAGCAACATATATGCCTTGTTCATTGCGTCAACATGGGGTCATGCGAAGCTACACAAATCGATCGCCCATCAGTCGACTTGCTAGAACGCTCGGCATTGGCCATGCTTTGCGAATTGCCAAACCCCTACTTGGGAAGGCACTGCAATTTTGTCCCCGCAAAGAGCATCGTGTGTGCCGCAGTAAGGGCTTCCTTCCCAAAGACCTAGTGCCACGACGCCCGGATGCACTGCAATTTTAGCCCTCATGAAGGGCATCACCATCATGCCACCCTTTCCTTTTCATCATGCAGGCGATCGACACCCACTGTAGCATCACTGACTGCACTGCAATTCTAGCCCTCATGAAGGCCATCACTACCATGTAGTCTTTTCACAGTGAGGCGTACTGGGTACACCGCAACTTGAATCCACACGAAGGGATGCTTGAGCCACTGCGGGCCAGCCATTGCCTGAAGTCTGTAAGAGACAACATCCATGGGTGAGCCAAACCAATAGAGCGTCACAAACTATATTGATGTTGGGAATGCACTGCAATTTTGTCTCCTATGGAGGGCAGCCAGCGCGTGTGGCACAGCAAGAGGCCTCCTTCCTGAAGACCTGCTGCGCCTCTCCACGGCCGGCCCGGCTACACTGCAATTTTAGCCCTCGCGAAAGGTATCACCGCCTGCACTGCAATTTTTAATCACCGCCAAAGGTTTCCATCGTTGCGAAGGAGAGTGACGGGAGATGTCTTTTATTCTCCTCTTCTCTTAAATCTTGCATCGTCCGTGGTCAAATGAGCTCGATCCAGATCTTAACTAAGGGAGAGAGACAAGTGCATGCAGTCCAAACTCACAGTAGCCGCATTCTATTTGCATTTATTGTCGTGTCCGGATATGGCTGATGATGTATGAAGTATGAATGAACCGTGCAACAATGTCATGTCATACAGTGATACCCTTCGTGGGGGTAGAAATTGCAGTGAGTGACAACCAATGTGAGAACCAATGTGACAGCCAATGCGCCACTTAACACAGCAGTCAACACAGCAGTTAACACAGCACTTCACTCACCCTATGATCTAATGTCACATGATATAATGTTGCTCTTCGTAACGGGTGAAATTGCGGTGCAACCGCAGTGCAGTAAAATGCAGTAACAGTCCGCATGAAGAAAACATCACATGATATCTAAAATGCTCTTCGCCCTTCGTAATGATTAAGATTGTAATGCACGGGCTGAACTGTGGGTAAACCACGTTACCAGAGATAATGCAAATCCTCACCCAAACAGAAATGTAGCTGTTATGGACGCTGACAACGCCTATCGATGTTCAGTTCTGACAGAACCGAGCTGGATAAGTATCACCTGCTTTCGCCTCCTTACTGCTTATTCCTCGTAATAACCTAGTTCCCTTGGGTTCCTCTTAACTCATTATCTAGTCAACGGAAACGAACTGCAAAGATTAAATACAAATATATATGACTGCTTTCTTTTTCAAAATACACATGTGTGAAGTAAGTAATTAAGTAGCTGCAACGGCCAAACATTAAAACACGAATTATAAACTTAATATATACTTTACAATGTCGGATTTACGATCAATCAGAGGCATACAGCCGTCAGGCTGTGACGGCTGTGATTGGTCGACAGGATGCAAAACAGTGGGGATTGGTCACGTGTCCTAGGAACCCCTCTAAAACCACCCACTTCCTGTCCCCGTAGTTCGTGATCCTTTTACATAGATAAGCAGATCAATACAACAACAATAACCCCCAACCAACCCGTTCTCTACTGTTACTATAGTGACTAGTACGAATGACCTTGTCATTCCAACATACAACGTTACGGGTATTAAATTAGAGCATACTTACCACGTAGTAAATAAGAGCCCAGAACTATAAACATATAAGGAAGGTACTTATTTTATATATTACATGAATTAGTAAAAGAGGTGTTTAGAAATACGCCATTCCCACATTTGATAGAAGACACGCCACCATAGCTCTAATAAAAACATCTGCCTAAAAAAAAAATCAAACCGAATCATACACAATACAAACCTAGATGACAAAGGCCAGAAAAAAAATTAACCCTTGAGATGAAGGTACAAAAGGTAATGGGACATGTGAGGCTCGAACTCACGACCTTTGGATTGCCCTGATATTTCACCAGATCATTTCATATGAGACCAACGCTCTACCAACTGAGCCAATATCCCAATTGTTGAAAGCAGGGGTCAAAGATCCGCGTTATGATAGCAGCTCCCCAGACCCTACATCCGGGGAACACCGTTGCCACCTCAGCCGACTTGAGGCCGCCAAGGTCTCCCTCTTGTAGTCTGCACTGCCAGTCGCAATTCGAAATAAACCAAGGATGCCAGGAGCATTCTAGTTCTAGTATTATGGATATTGCGGCATGCGGTAGCTGAGGAGCTAAGGGGAAGACCACAGCTTCGAGAAAGACTGCGACTTGATGCATCCTGGAGCAAGCTCGTTTTAATAAGATGTCCGTCATAGGGGTTGCTGTGCTGACTGCTAAGGAGTATGTGCAAAACATACAGATTGATCAGCAGGACATAGGGGACACATCGCATTATCATGTTGTTGTCGAGACAGCTCACTTGTCGTAAATGCACATGACCGTGTGTGTCACTTGATAATTTCGTTATGACGGATGCCTAACATACCTTAGGTAGCTCAGCTATTTACAAGTACATATTTGCGTTTTTAACTCAAGCTCCCTGAGCCAAGTCATGGACTTATGATATATCCATCCATGCACGTCACATATTTAACGTTTGCTTCTATCTGAGGTATTCAAAGTTTGAGCTCATTGGTTTGAAAGTTATTGTATTTGTCGAGGCTTGTATTCATCGAGGAGCAAGCTTGCAAATCCCATGGAACCGCTGCCCCACTCTGGCCCAAGAAACCTAACTGTCTTGGGCCTGACGGTTTGGCCACCCGCACGGGGTGGACGGAGACAGCCGACAGGCGGGTCTCGCAGGGATGTGGCGTGGTGCTTGTCACAAGCCCATCATTTCGGGGAAATTGTTCCAACTGCCAACTCTGGCTCCAAGGTCGCGCGCTATGGCAACCGCAACCGTAACTGCAACGGCAACTTCCTCCCCACAGAACACAACATACGCATCGAGTGTCTAACACCTTTTTTTTTGTCCTCTTGTCGCTTAAACCGCCGCCATTTTGCTGTCTTTCCAACCATTTGCAAGCCTGTTGCTGCCATGAATGGCCATTTCGCCGCGGTCGGCAACGGGCCGACGGCCCAGGTGTACGAACATGGCATCCAAGTCATTGACGAGGAGAAGCAGTTCAACACAAATCTCAATGACTATATGATCGAGACCCACGTCGCCGAGGCTGGCTTCAACTACCACCTCATCTCCGTCTTCGGCTCCCAGTCGACGGGCAAGTCCACCCTACTCAACCACCTCTTTGGCACCGAGTTCAGCGTCATGGCCGAGTCGGAGCGTCGCCAGACCACTAAGGGTATATGGCTGTCCAAGAATAAGAGGGAGGGCGCAAAGGGCGGCGACACCTCCATGGCCGAGAACATTCTGGTCATGGACGTCGAAGGAACCGACGGCCGCGAGCGCGGCGAGGACCAGGACTTTGAGCGGAAGAGCGCCCTCTTCGCCCTGGCCACCAGCGAGGTCCTGATTGTCAACATATGGGAGCACCAAGTTGGTCTGTACCAGGGCGCAAACATGGGCCTCTTGAAGACCGTGTTTGAGGTCAACCTTCAGCTGTTTCTCAAGGATAAACAGTGAGTTCTTTCCCCCATCTCTCTCCATCGCCCCTGAGAGAGCTTATTGACCCTTGTCCGCAGATCACAAACCCGCTCCCTGCTCTTCTTCGTCATCCGCGACCACATCGGCAACACGCCGCTCGCCAACCTGCGCAACACCCTCATCCAAGATCTCAACAAGATCTGGTCCTCCATCTCGAAACCCGCAGGCCTCGACAACTCCAAGATCGACGACTACTTCGACTTCGCCTTCGCCGCGCTGCCTCACAAGGTGCTCCAGCCCGACAAGTTCCTCGCCGAGGTCGAGAAGCTCGGCACCCGCTTCACCGCCGGCCACCGCTCCGCCAAGGATCAAGAGTTCGTGGGGGGCGTGTTTCTGCCCGAGTACCACCGGAGGATACCCGCCGACGGCCTGTCCATGTACACCGAGGGCGTCTGGGACCAGATCGTCAACAACAAGGACCTCGACCTGCCCACGCAGCAGGAGCTCCTCGCGCAGTTCCGCTGCGACGAGATCTCGCGCGAGGTCCTCATCGGCTTCGATGACATCATCCTCCCGCTGGAGGAATCCCAAGCCGAAGCCACCCGTCTCGGCCGCGCCTCAGTCCTCCCCGACCTCGGCGCGACCGGCGCCCGCGCCCGCGAGAAATGCATCAAGGCCTTCGAGACCCAGGCCAGCCGCTACCACAAGGGCGTGTACGCGCTCAAGCGCACCGAGCTCGAGAGCAAGATCGACACGCGCCTCAAGACGCTCTACCAGACGCAGCTGTCGGCCGCGCACAAGTCCGGTGTTGCCGCCTTCAGCGACGCTGTCACCAACGCGGTCAAGGCCGGCCAGAAGGCCGGTGGTACATACGAGTTTGCCGAGATAGTGGACAAGCAGAAGCGCAAGACGCTCGAGTTCTTTAAGAAGGAGGCCCAGTCGCTCTCCATCCCCGGCGTGGCGTGGTCAAACTTCAAGCCGCAGTACCGCCTGTTTGAGCGCGAGCTCGACGAGGTCAGCGCGCGCCTGCGCAAGGAGGAGATGCGCCGCCTGGCCATCCGCGTCGAGCGCTGGGTGCGCTCTCGCCTGGGTGACGCCATCGGGCTGGAGTTCAACAAGCTTGGGTCAGGCAGGGGAGGCACCGGCGCGCCCGAGACGGGCGACAAGCCGGAGACAGAAAAGGACCTCTGGGATCGCATCTGGGCTGTGTTCAGCGGGATTGTCGCAGAGGCCGAGGACAGGTTCACGGACCGGGCCAAGAGCTTCGAGGCGAGCGTGGGCGAGGTCGAGGTTGGTTTGTGGCGGCTGCGGCGCAAGAGCTGGGTGGCGCTGAGGGAAAAGATCGACGAGGAGGTCATGGAGAGCAACATCCTTATGAAGCTGCGCGAGAACTTTGAGGACAAGTTCCGCTACGATGAGGAGGGCGTGCCGCGCATCTGGCGGCCGACGGACGACATCGAGGGCGCGTACACGCGCGCGCGTGAGTCGACGCTGACGTTGATCCCGCTACTTTCGAGGTTCAGGCTGGCCGAGACGTATGCGCCGCCCGACCTGCTTGCGTTTATTGGACCGCAGCCGGCCGGGGCGGAGACGGAGGACGAGGAGGACCTCGCGCCGATTGGCGGTGTCGACGAGGAGGAGGGCAAGAGCCTAGAGGAGGAGATGACAGTGCTCAGCGAAAGCAAGAGGCAGGATCTGGTGGTGAGGTTTAAGAAGATGGCGGATGGAGTATATGTGGAGGCTAAGAGGAGCGCCATCGGCGGCATGACGCAGGTGCCGCTGTACTTTTATGCGATTCTGCTGGTGCTGGGGTGGAACGAGATTGTTATGGGTACGTCCTCCATCATTTTTCTGGCAAGTAATAGGGTTTTGTTGCTGACCTCTCTCTGCAGTCTTGCGCAACCCATTCCTGTTTGTCCTCATCCTCGTGATGGGCGGCGGTACATATGTCGCATACACGCTCAACCTCCTAGGGCCCATGATGCAAATGGCCAACGCGGCGTCCAACCAGGCGGTTGAGATTGGCAAGGCGAAGCTGCGCGACTTCTTGGAGAACAACGAGATGGCGAGACAGGCCATTGCCATGCCGTCGCGGTCGGATACCGGCATCAGCATGGACACTTTGGATAGCCGCGGGAAAAAGAGGGCCACCCAGCGGGCTGCGGTCGATGATGAAGACGATGAGATTTAGGGAATCTGACCGCTGGGTGGGTGGTCGGAAATGTGTGAAGTGAAAGTGCGCTGGGCTTTTTTTTTTTTTTTTTAAACAACGCGGCGGGTTTGGTATATAAAGGGGCAATTTTGTTTGCTGTGTATGAAAAAAAGGGATGGATGATCAATGGAAAGGCAGGGTAATAGTGCAGCGACGTCGGCCAACCAGGGGGATGGGTGGCCGCGGGCAAGAGAGTTGTTGTTAAATGTCATAAATCTAGCAGTCGTGATGTATTTAGGCCAAACATAAGCAAAACTCCTCCAACTCCAACTCCTTATCCATGAGGAAGAAAGAAAAACAAGCCAAGCACGTCTCTCGTCAAAACGCCTCCAGCCCAGCTGGCGTCCCAAACCACGTCCCCAGCTCGTCCCCTTCCCTCTCCTGATCCTTGGGCGCCGCCACAAAGAAATCCGTCATCCTGTGCATGTCGGCGTTGTCTTCATCCTCAACAACAGGCCACTCCACCTTGACGCCCCCTTTACCCCCGCTCGCCTCGAGCATATCCTTGGCCGTGCCCCAGCTGAACCGACACTCTGCCCCCCAGCCAAACACAGGGTGCATGTTTCCCCTCATCCACGTCGTGCACCGCCCATCAGACGGATACCCCGACCCCCATCCTGGCGTCTCCTCCTCCTCCGCCCCCTCTCCTCCTTCAGCCACATCCTCCTCTCCCCCGCGCGCCCTCCACAGCGTCTCCAGCGCGGCGTCCCTCGTCACTTTCGCACACACGCTGGCGGCGCTGACACTCGGATAGAGACTATCGGCCTTCTTGGCGACCGTGATCATGGCGGTGGGGAAGACGCGCTCGAGCTTCTTCTGGTACGTGGCGGGCGGGCCGATGGTATCCACATAAATCTCCTTGATGTTGACGCCGGCGTCGTAGACGGCCTGGATCAGGGCGACGGTGGTGTCCATGGCCTGGGCGTTGAGGTTGTAGGCGGCGCCGGGGCCGGGGCGCAACATCCCCGCGCCGATGTCGCGCGCTGACAGGGCCGAGATGGCCCAGCCGCACGAGGTGTGCAGCAGCTCGGTGGTGGACGGGGTGCAGAGGGTCTGCATGAGGGCGGAGCGCACGGCGGGCGTGAGGACCTTGGAGTCGTCGAAGTGGTGGGTCGTGCGCAGGAGGGGGTCGGAGAGCGGGAGGGGGAGGAAGAAGATGCCGTAGACCATGGGGCCGAGGACGGGGCCGCGGCCGGCTTCGTCGACGCCGAGGACGCAGGGGGGGCCGGCGGTGGGTTTTGGGGGCTGTTTGGCTTCTGGG